AACAAGACAACGAAGTGAGACAGAAACAAGGGAGAGACAGACAGAAACAAGGGAGAGACAGACAGAACGAAGTAGAAGCGGGCGACGAACGGGGACAGAGACAGAAGTTGAGACAGAAACAAAGTGAAACACACAGAGTGAGACATGCATTCCAGACAGCTGAATACCAGGAAGGGAGTGTCCGCTCACTAATGATGACCCTTCATTAACAAACGCTAACGGCATTTCCCAGAAGGCATTGTGTTTACACTTCTGCTGCTGATAAAACGGGAAGGAGCAATAACTCCTCTGAAGACGGAAAAGCATTTTTTGGATGAAAAAAAGGCCTCTTTTACGGGAAAGAGGCCCCCAAATGATCGTCATCACACGGATAATGGAAGTGTGTGTGTGTGTGTGTGTGTGGTGTCGCCTGTGTGTGTTGTATGTGTGGTGTGTGTGGTGTGTTGGTGGGTGTGTGTGTGTGTGTGTGTGTGTGTGTGTGTGTGTGTGTGTGTGTGTGTGTGTGTGTGTGTGTGGTGTTGTGTGTGTGTGTGTGGTGTGTGTGTGGTGTGGTGTGTGTGTGTGTGTGTGTGTGACATTGCCCATTATTTATTCAATAAAACCTTTAATATACATTTTTTTGTATACAAATATTGTTTATGGCAACTTAAAAATGACGTCTTGGATTTTTTTTGTAATAATATTATCTACTTTTAATTTTTTTATAAATATTATTGTGTGGTTAGTCAAAATCACAGCTTGTACGACAATATTTTCATATTTCATCAATGGTTCATGTTCAGGCTTTTAAAACAGCTTTAGTTAAGGTTTGACTACCTAATAAAATAGCTTCTTTATCTGCAGAGCCTTGCACTTCAATGTTGATTGAAGCAAATCTGACTTACAACCTTATATTGGACTTACTTAATAGATATCCAGTCCTTTTTTGAGTTCTTGAAAGTGATTTAAGTCCATTATGCTTTCACGTGGCACTGCGTGAGAACATACATGGTTCTGCACGGGGTGTGATTGATCTGTATTATCTAGAAACATGTAAGAGAGGAAGGATACGGGGTGATGCACAGTAAAACGTAGCACTGCAAGGACAGGAAGCCATGAGAGTTTGAAACAGAAGCCATGTCTCACTGGAAGGTGTTAAAAAGAACAATTATGTACTCTTAACTCATACTTACTAACCCTAACGCCGTAACTGATAACATGGTTCTTTGAAAAGGCTATCTATGGCTTTAACTAAACTTAATTTAATTCAAAGCATCGACATAAAAAGCCACCTGAAAGAAGCCATTAAAATAAATACCATTAAAGATATTTCCATTTGAGTTAGTATTAAAGGAGACCAAAATACGTTATCTCTAACATCCCACCCAATTATCACTTCTGAGGGAAAAAGATGTATCAGTTTTATTTATGTGCGATTTAATATTTCATATATAAGATGGCAATTTTAATCAAAGACTGTTTTGGTTTTTCCTTAAATTGTGAATGATGGTAACGTCAAAAGCCATTTCCAAGGGTGCCTATGCATCCGCGCGCGGTTGCAAAGAATAGTAAATAGTGATTTAAGTGACAACAAAAATACAAAAATAATGTCCATGAATACCAGACGAAGACCCTTCCTTATATTCACTATTTCCGATTTTTGTCCACAGATAATCGCAGTCAAAATCTCTGAATGACAGATCCAGGCGCCTAAACACCATTGTTTAACCAGTATGGTTTTGGTTTTGTTTCTGCCAGTGGTAATGTGTGTTATAGTTTTCTAACTACTACACCACACATTGTCACGTGGCCATAGGCTAAAGAGGCGTAACCGGACATCTCTAAGCGGTTGACCCAATCAAACAGACGACGACCACCTAACCAACTCAGAGCCCGACTTGGGCTCTGGTTTTCAGACAGAGGTAAAAGAGGTGTGCAGCAACAGGCAGTATGAGAACAATAACAGAGCTTTTTGAACAATTAAAAGCATGGAGACATGTACGAGACCACTACATACTCGATATCACACTGAACATCAGCAGGAGAGGACTCTTTACACACCGAGCGCTAGAGACACTACATACTGATATACACCCCATGAACATCCAGCAGGAGAGGATCCTTAAGTCAGACCGACACTACATACCTCGACTATACACTGAACATCAGCCAGGAGAGGACTCTTTACAAGTAAGAGACACTACATATGATTACACCCTCCGCCGACATCAGCAGAGAGGCACTCCTTTTAAAGTAGAGACCTACATACTTGATATCCGCACCTGAACACTCAGCCAGGAGCAGCGCTCTTTTAAAGTAGAGACCACTACATACTGATATACACCTGAACATCCAGCAGGAAGAGGACCTCTTTAAAGTAGAGAACTACCATACTGATATACACCTGGGACATCAGCAGGAAGAGGACTCTCTTAAGTAGAGAACACTACATATCTGATATACACCTGAACACTCAGCAGGCAGACGGGAATCTTTAAAGCTGACCGACACTACACTACTGATATAACCTGAACATCAGCAGGAGAGGCACTCTTTCAGCTAGGAAGACACTACACACTGATATACACCTGAACTCACAGGCAGAGGACTCTTTAAGTAGACGACACCTACATACTGATATACACTGAACACTCAGCAGGAGAGGCACTCTTTAAAAGTAGAGACACCTAATAACTCGAATATGAGTATAATAACTATTCCTCTTAAAACAATCCACATTTGCGCACACATGAACTTATTCTTGGGAGGCAGAAATTGACTACCATTTTCACTGACTCCCCAGAGGATCCAAACCCTTTACAACCATCACCTGTATAATTGTAATTCACTGTGTAAAATAAGACGACAAAATACACACAAACTAACTAGTTAATTATATCCTGAGAATACTGGCTGCAACTTGTAAAATAACGTCACTTCTGCCCAGGGTTACAGTTATGTGGCAAACGTGGGGGCACACCACGATTCATAATCGACTGAACTGAACACACGCATACCCCCACAGAACATCCCCCCCCCCACCCACCCGTCCTCTTTATCTTGTACCCAACAAACGTTGCTTTGAAATCGGGCGTTACGATTTTCAACTTTTAATCTACATAAGATCGGAAAAAACAGTCAGTCCTTTTTTAAAATTGACGGGAAAAAAATGGGGGCGGGGGAAAGTCAAGAGGGGTAGTAGCAATGTGAGATTAAGGTTTTAAGAGCTAAATAACTTCTAATTTGGCATTACTTTTTTAGTTCAATGGCACTCAACAAAGTCCACTGCAAATTGCCATTACGATGTTTACTCACTTCTGTTTAATTATTTAGCCTGAAGGAAGCTAGACAAAGAAGAACACAAGAGGAAAAATAAAAAAAACCAACAAAGCATGTGGAATAAAAGCCCCAGCAAAACACTGTCGGTCTTTGTTTCTGAGCTGATTTGTGGGGAGCCGTGTGAAGATTCCACGGGAGGCTCAGCAAAGTACCCAAGATTAGCCATTAGAGGCGAGAAGACTTTGTACCCCGGAAATACACTCATCCTAATCTCTCATTTTACCCCCACTCCCTGCTGCTAATGGCTGGAAGACCAATAAGATGCATAATCTGTCCACGCTGGGAAGCCGCTCACATAATCTACATAGGAGTGCATATAGACTCCAAATGTTTTGAAGATTAGCTTCCCTGGCATCTTCTGCCTTAATTAGATAGAGCCTTAGTGGAGGGAGCAGGGCCCCATGAGAGAGAGGGAGATACTGAGAAATTCACCACGCCGGAACCCACGCTGCATAGCTCACTCAATGCTACATTTTTGTTTCTCGCGCTCTCTCTCCACACCGTGGCAAAACAGCCTTGAAGGCAGGAACAAGCCATGACTGCAAGACAGGAACTTGAAATCAGTCAAAAGCTATACCCAATCAAAAGAGCTGCCAGTTTTGATTCAGATCTTCATGTAACAATTCAACATATCTTACACGGCATTTCTTATGCTTATCTTCTCAGGAGTGTATACAGTGTGTCCACGTGCCCTCAAGGGTTCTCATGCACACACACACACAGACATCTCAGTATGTAGTGGTCTCTACTTTAAAGAGTCCTCTCCTGCTGATGTTCAGGTGTATATAGTATGTAGTGTCTTACTTTAAGAGTCCTCTCCTGATGTTCAGGTGTATGTATCAGTATGTAGTGTCTCGTACCTTTAAAGAGTCCTCTCCTGCCTGATGTTCAGGTGTATATAGTATGTAGTGTTTATTTAAAGAGTCTCTCCTGCTGATGCTTCAGGTGTATAAACCTCAGTGTTAGTGTCTCTACTTTAAAGAGTCCCTCTCCTGCTGATGTTCAGGTGTTTCAGTCTCGCCTCTTCGTCCTCTACTTAAAGAGTCCTCTCTGCTGATGTTCAGGTGTATATAGTGTGTAGTGTCTCTACTTTAAAGAGTCTCTCCATGCTGATTTCAGGTGTATATCAGTATGTAAGTGTCTCTACTTTAAAGAGTCCTCTCCTGCTCGATGCTTCAGGTGTATATCAGTTTAGTGTCTCTTACTTAAAGAGTTCTCCTGCTGATGTTCAGGTGTTATTATCAGCTATGTGTGTTCTACTTTAAAGAAGTCCTCTTGTGATGTTCAGGTGTATATCAGTATGTATGTTCTACTCAGTGACCATGTTCATGATTTAGTTCAAAGTCTTTATTTTTATCTCTGTTTGATAGCTGCAGCACATCTTTCACCCTCTGCGTCTGAAACAAGAGCAGACTGACTTGTCTGGTTAGTGGGCCGGTTGTGTGATTTGTGACTGCTTAGAGATGTCCGCCGCCTGTAGCCCTATCAACGGTAACAAATGTGTTGGAGCGCTAGCCCAAAAAAAAAGTGTAAAGTGCTAGAAAGTGATGTCAATTGGTTAGGAAGTAAAAAAAGGTGTCAAATGGAGGCGTTCCAGTCCAGGGATTTAGCTTTGGAACTCAAGATACAGATGTATGCGCAAAAAGGGATTTTTTTTATACAATATACATCCCTTTAAAATCCAAGTTTTAAATCCTTGAGATTTAAAGGCTTATCTGATGCGCAACTGTTTACTATAGGATTTACAACCTGGAATTCACTAGAAAATTGTTTTATGCCTCCATCTCGATGGTGCTGAAGGTAAAACTGGAATTGGGGGGCGTTCTTGTTTCATGAAGTAATCTTCCAGGATGTGTGCTTCTTAATTGGTTTTGGCCGGCTGCAGCGCATCTTTGCCAGATGACGTTGGCACGGCAAAAAGTTAGCCGCATTTTCAATTTCTTTTTTCTTTTTATGTTGGCACCGTTGGCCATGTTGACCTAATTTTCTGTGGTTATGCAAATTTCAACAAGAAAATTAATCTGGCAACAAAATGACTCATTTCTTTATAGTGTTTGATTTGAAAAACGCACAAAAATCTTCACCAAGGCTTCTCCTTTTCATTGATTTGATGTGCGTATAATGTTAAAAGAATCAGAAATTAAGAATGTCAAAACAGTCCTTTTTATGAAAACGTCTTTTCTTCCTTAATGACTGATAAATACACGACATCTAAGTCGGTCTTTAACATGTCAGCTTCTGTTTGCCGTCTCGTGTCTGTCTGTCTCTTTTCTGTCTCTTTCAGCTGGGTCAAGGCCTAAAATGGGTCACCAGGCCTATGTTTAATAGATCCATTCGGCCACATTAAGGCCGCGGGTCCCATGAATGAGAGGCTAAAATGTTTCATCTTGGTCCCAGCGCTGAGGGTCTTAAGAGCCGCTGGTCCTGAATGATAGCTGAGCGAAAAGCCCTTGGCCTTCGCTCTGAGTCTCCACCAGCTGGCCACGCAGAAGGGTCTGTCCACAGCTGTAAATGGTTTTAATGTGATCTCTTCTACTTCAATTGCTTCCACATTGCCTCTCTGCACCAAATCACACTATCCTTAATTAACTCATCACAACATAATAACAACACAGCATAGAACACATGAAACATACAGTAAGACCGAAGACTTTGATAACAACAACAACGACATTTGAGCAGAGAGAGACAGATGACAACAGCAGAAGAATAAAGCACACATCTTTTCCCTTCTCTTTTTCTCTAGAAGACACAGCATACATAACCGGGACTCACCCCCCCACAATACACAGTATGCATGACATGTCGTTCTTTGATCAGAAATACGTGGAATTTGCATTGCATAGACAATAATCAGAACAACATTTAGCACAAACACAACTTTAAATAACAGGCACAATCAGCTGGAGAAAAAAATGTTGTCATGACCCTTTAGCCGTGCTTTGATCTGGATCCAGCTCTGTATCGATATACAGTATTGCCGAATAAATATACATTTGGACTGTGTTCATTAAACGTTTTTTTTTTTCTTGTCCGATGTGAAAGTCCAAGGACGAGGGTGTCGTATTGAATATTCTTGTAGCAAACTGTAAAAGCCACAACCCCCTTTTTTGAAGGGAAACCCCAAAATTTAACAAATTTGTCAATCCTCCTACTGTATTGTCAGAAAAATCTCACTCGTCACCGGCTTGAGCTTCAATCTCAGGATCCATGTATCTGTGATCCTCTCCAGAATGGAAGTAGTCATCACATACAGAACATCAAGTAGTTCCTGAACAGTGTCCTTCACATGCTGATATCCAAGAGAGGGAGTTACACAGTCACAAGATGGAGGAATAGAAAGCAGTATTCAATGTTTACTTCAGATTAGCTCCACGTCAGAAATGATCATGCTTGTCATATATCTATCTCCATAGAGGCTGAATCATCATGTTAATCACATAGCTATCATATGCCTCAAACAGTCCTGATGCTCTTCTAGGTAATCACACATCCTGTCATGTTCACAGCTACAGTTGGGATACCTTTGTTACCATGTGGACTCTGATATTGGACGAGGACATTCAGTATTTCCCCAACCCTTTTAAATATATATTTCTGATTAAAGCTGTTCCCTCCTGTCCTCCCCAGGTTTATCGGGCCCTCCAGGAGCCCCAGGAGTCTCAGCTACCGGGGGTGGAGGCGTCTCAGGACCTCCAGGCTTCCAGGGAGAGAGAGGTGGGAAGGGAGATGCTGGCGTTCCCGGTCTTTCTCTGCCGGGACCCCCAGGACGAACAGGGTCCAACGGGGGTCAGGGAGCTCCAGGACTCCCCGGACCTCCAGGATTCTCCTCGGCTCAACAGAACTGCGTGGCCGGAGAGCCCGGACGCTCAGGAGTCCAGGGAGAGAAAGGGTTCCCCGGAGAGTCTGGACAGAAAGGTGAGAGAGACGCTGGTGTTTGTGGATTTAATGATCAGAATCAGAAACAGGTAGGTTGACACATATTCAAATGTATATTTAATTGTATTCGTACTGTTAATTCTTCTTTCATTTAATTTTGTATTTGTACTTTTATTCGTATTATTCCCGTGTATATTCCATGCGTACTATCTGTGTTTCCTTCTGTTGCTGCTATCACACATGTATTTCCCTACGGGGATTAATCAAGGTCCATCTTATCTTATTACAAAGGGTATTACAGCAATGAACCAATACTTAAAAGTTGAGTTATATAGATTTTTACTGCGTCTAGCAACTTAAATGTAAGTCCCCCAAAAAATGAATTAAAATTGGCACAGTGGGGAAATAAGCATCTACCAATCAGAGGGTCAGCCTCTGATTGATTAATCCCTCCCTCCTGCAGTCAACACAAATAAAATAAAAAGAATAGATTGTTATACAAACATAAGAAGTGAAGATCCAGCATATTGACTTTTCAAGGGAGGAGTTAAAATGTCTGATGGTCACACTATAGAATATAAAATCCTTTATTGTCGTTATACAGGTACAATGAGATGAGTAGAGCGACTCCTTTTTTGAAGGTGCCATCAGAAAAAAAAACAAGAGCAAGCATTATACTTCAATACGCACTGACCTAAGTGATGGTTTGCTCGTTCAGGTGATAAGGGGGAGACGTGTGTGAACTGCTTTGGAAGTACCACCGGCAGCCAAGGACCCCAAGGACCTGCCGGACAGCCAGGATTCCCCGGTAACACCTCTTCACTTTCTATTCCCATCATGCATTGCTTTATATCAGGGGTGTCCAAACTATGTTCCGGGGGCCATTTTGATTCGGCCCTCAGCAAATTAAAAAAAGTATAATGGAATACGGCCCACAAATGAAACTTGTGCTTGTCTTATATTGTACTTCTTAAATATATATTTAAACATATATTACACAGTAGTATTCATGTGTTACTGTAATAAGCCATCTTTTCAAATAAATTCAGTCAATTCAAGTTGGGAACATTTTCTAACAAATCTTAGTTGATAAGAAAAAAGGCCCGATAACTTATTTACATAGCAAGATTGAAAAAGCCCCTTCATATTTCCTTTTATTATAAGCGATCTGAGGCTTCTGTTTTGAGGAATGAGCTGCCAACAAAATAAATGAAACCTTATAGAGTGCCACAGTGACGCGTCCTAAAACCCGGAAGTAAGCTGCTCATGGGTTCCTTCGACAAAAAAGCAATGCAATTTCTCCATAGAATTTGGGAAAATAGCTGGAAATAAGGGCGTGACAAGAGACGGATGATCTCCACATGTCTACCCTACTTTTATAATTTTCTAATCATAAATGCGTCACTGTGGCACTCTATAGAGAGCTGTGATATAGGCTGTTTTTTTCTTAAGGCATTTTCAAGTATCAAGCATAATTGACCTACTTATAACTGAACTTATGAGGCAATATACCTCTAGTGAGTGGCCCAGCCCTTCGTATGTTTTTCTGTATGTGGCCCTCGGTGAAAAAAGTTTGGACACCCCTGCTTGATGGAGAAATCTTTGGACTTAAATAGGTTTGAATGTACTGTGTTGTTAATCCGTTCCCTCTCCTCCAACAGGAGCTCCCGGAGGTCCAGGAGTCAAAGGAGACCGAGGATACCCAGGATCTCCAGGCTCCTCTGGACCCGCTGTTAGTACCTTTTGACTTTCTCTTCTTCAGTGATTTCACAGGGTTGACAACTTATAAATGCAAATACTACAAATAAAAATGTACAAGTTGTTAAAAGACCTATGTAGACCACATTAAAACGAGACTGTTTGAAAGTTAAGGGCCCATTTGTCACATGTATGAAAAGAGGTACATCAAGTCCAATAAAACCTGCTTTTACACCACTCCAGGCTTCTGCTGTGGGAATCTCAATCTTTATTTATTTATATAGCACATTTAAAACAACCTCAGTTGACCAAAGTGCTGTACAGGGAACAATATAAAATAACACAATGGGAGTAAAATAATAAAAAAATAATATGATAAAAAGAACAATAACTAGAAAACGTATAAAAACACATTCAAATGTAAAAATGTAATGTTCAACGAGCATTAAAAGCCAGTGTGAAGAGTTTTTAGCTGAGATTTAAAAAGTTCTATCATAGTCTTTTATCTTCCATTGTTAGGTCTCCTTTGGGTTTCACTAAATAAATCTCTTTCTCTGTTCCTCTCCTCAGGGTCCCTCCGGTTCTCTGGGTTCTCCAGGTTTCCCCGGACAGAAGGGAGACCCCGGAGATGCCGTCACGGTGAGCGGTGGGCGGGGAGATAAGGGAGACAGCGGATTCCCCGGATCTCCCGGTCTTCCCGGTTTGGACGGTCGACCCGGTCGCGATGGACAACCCGGAAACCCAGGAGCCAAAGGAACTCCGGTAGGCGGCTCAGAAGGGCCTAAAAACCTTTATTTAAAAAAAACCTTTGATTAAACTTCTGTTTCTTTTTTATATTACGCCCCTTGTAGCACTTTGGGATTACTTTTAGCAATAAAAGGTGCTTC